CGCTAAAGGACTGCAACTAACCAACTGTTATACAATAAACCAATGTGAAAAAACTAAGTATAAACTACATCAATATAATAAATATACTCAATATATTCTTCAATAAGTTGAGCTATTAACATAAAGTAACTAGGTATACACTACACTATATAATGAATACCATATAGTAAACTAATAAAAAACTAAAATATAAACTACATCAATGTTATCAATAAACTCTATATACTCTCCAATCAGCTGAGCGCTTCAATGAACGCTACTAAGATTCGCAGCGTCTTTTAGGCTAGGTGGGAGAGGTAAAGCGCCTTGACAAAGGAGTTTACATATCAAACAGGAGACTTTAGCATTGAAATAGCTGTGTTAAAGTGTTGGATCAGCAGGGTGTTAAAGTCAGAAATTAGCATGTAACTGGGAGATCAGCATGATGTTAATGTGAGGGATTAGCATGGGACTGGTCATGGAAATAGCTATGTTAAAGTCAAAGTTTACATATCAACAGAGGCATTTAGTATATGGACGCTAAAGGACTGCAACTACCCAACTATCATACAATAAACCGATGTGAAAAAACTAAGTATAAACTACATCAATATAATAAATATACTCAATATATTCTTCAATAAGATGAGCTATAAACGTAAAGTAACTGGGTATACACTACACTATATAATGGATACTATATAGTAAACTAATAAAAAAACTAAAGTATAAACTACATCAATATAATAAATGTACTCAATATATTCTTCAATAAGTTGAGCTATTAACATAAAGTAACTGGGTATACACTGCACTAGATATTGAATACCATATAGTAAACTAATAAAAAACTAAAATATAAACTACATCAATGTTATCAATAAACTCTATATACTCTCCAATCAGCTGATATACTAACAATAAGTCGTTATACATTACAATGCCATATGGCGAAAAAATGGGTGGCGTTTTTTTCTTTTCAACGTTAGCACCATGGACAGCGACGAGCTTTGTTCAGACGGACGTGTCCATCTATGCTTGGAACGGAGGAGGGGGGAGAAACAGCCACGATGCGCTGTTATACTCCATGTTATAAACCATACCATTAACCGTAGTGTGAGAGGTATTAAGAAGCAATGCCAGCGAAAGGGCTGCGGTCTGAAGGTCACCGTAAAATACAATGAATTAAGAACCGAAATGGTTTAAAACATATTTCCAATGGTTACTAAGCCAGAATCCATCTTGGTTGAAATTGTCTCTGTGCTTGTATATGTGGATGGCCTCATGAACGAATCTCTCATGGTAGCCGGTTGGCTTGCAAAGAACCTCCGTCTTGGAGAAGTCAATGTCATGTGAGCCCACTGAATTATAACAGTGATCTGCCATGGCAGAGGAGTTCATCCTACCGTGTTTCAAGTCTGCTTTATGTTCGCGGATGCGGTCCGAGATATGTCGTTTGGTTTCTCCAATGTAACTGCTACCACAGAGGCAACTTAGTTTGTAGACGCCCGGGTACTGTATGTCTGGAACCACATCTTTTACAGACGGAACCAGATCACGGATTTTATGTACTGTGTTGAATCGGACCTGGATATTGTGTTTATTCAGGATTTTGGAGATCTTTTTTGCGACCCCCGCAATATAGGGTAAGGTGATGGTTTTGAATGGCTCCTCAAGAGGATCCTTCTTCATGGCTGGAGTGATGGCTTTGTGGATTGTGTAGTCGGAGTAACCATTAGCCTTGAGAGCTTGGTGTACGTGTTTGAGTTCACTGATATGTAAACTCCTTTGTCAAGGCGCTTTACCTCTCCCACCTAGCCTAAAAGACGCTGCGAATCTTAGCAGCGTTCATTGAAGCGCTCAGCTGATTGGAGAGTATATAGAGTTTATTGATAACATTGATGTATTCATAGTTCTTTCGGTAAAGTCACGTTGAAGGGAAGGGAAACAACAAAATAATAAAATATATATTTTATTATTTTGTTGTTTCCCTTCAACGTTACTTTACCGAAAGAACTAAAAATATGAATTACTGCAGTCACGAAAGCTTTAAATCAAAATTTAACATTGATGTAGTTTATACTTTAGTTTTTTATTAGTTTACTATATGGTATCCATTATATAGTGTAGTGTATACCCAGTTACTTTACGTTTATAGCTCATCTTATTGAAGAATATATTGAGTATATTTATTATATTGATGTAGTTTATACTTAGTTTTTTCACATCGGTTTATTGTGTGATAGTTGGGTAGTTGCAGTCCTTTAGCGTCCATATACTAAATGCCTCTGTTGATATGTAAACTTTGACTTTAACATAGCTATTTCCATGACCAGTCACATGCTAATCCCTCACATTAGCATCATGATAATCTCCCAGTCACATGCTAATTTCTGACTTTAGCACCCTGCTGATCCAACACTTTAACACAGCTATTTCAATGCTAAATTCTCCTGTTTGATATGTAAACTCCTTTGTCAAGGCGCTTTACTTCTCCCACCTAGCTTAAAAGACGCTGCGAATCTTAGCAGCGTTCATTGAAGTGCTGTCGTCCCGACAGTTCTGTTCCTTCACCTGAAGAAGGCTACTTGTATTGTGGCCGAAACTTCGTGAGAATTTTATTTTTTATTATGTTTTATTTGTATTATTTTATTTTCATTCTACGTGACTTTACCAAAAGAACCAAGAAGATATATATTTTGCAATTAATTATATTATCAAACTAAAACACAGTAATTATATAAGAACACGGAAAATTCACATTATCATAAAAAGTCAGTCATGTTAGTGGTTTTGCAACCTATTACCGTAATCCCTAACCCCTTCATTACCATAAAATCAATAGTTATTATTACGCTTTTTTTCCATAAAGCGGTGTTCGTCAGGAACGCAACTACCGAATAATTTACAACAGACTATTCCCCCATGTAAGTACACATTGCATACGTACAGTGAGGGAAAAAAGTATTTGATCCCCTGCTGATGTTGTACGTTTGCCCACTGACAAATGATCAGTCTATAATTTTAATGGTAGGTTTATTTGAACAGTGAGAGACAGAATAACAACAAGAAAATCCAGAAAAATGCATGTCAAAAATTTTATAAATTGATTTGCATTTTAATGAGGGAAATAAGTATTCAACCCCCTCTCAATCAGAAAGATTTCTGGCTCCCAGGTGTCTTTTATACAGGTAACGAGCTGAGATTAGGAGCACACTCTTAAAGGGAGTGCTCCTAATCTCAGCTTGTTACCTGTATAAAAGACACCTGTCCACAGAAGCAATCAATCAATCAGATTCCAAACTCTCCACCATGGCCAAGACCAAAGAGCTCTCCAAGGATGTCAGGGACAAGATTGTAGACCTACACAAGGCTCGAATGGGCTACAAGACCATTGCCAAGCAGCTCGGTGAGAAGGTGACAACAGTTGGTGCGATTATTCGCAAATGGAAGAAACACAAAAGAAGTGTCAATCTCCCTCGGCTTGGGGCTCCATCCAAGATCTCACCACATGGAGTTGCAATGATCATGAGAACGGTGAGGAATCATCCCAGAACTACACGGGGGGATCTTGTCAATGAATTCAAGGCAGCTGGGACCATAGTCACCAAGAAAACAATTGGTAACACACTACGCCGTGAAGGACTGAAATCCTGCAGTGCCCGCAAGGTTCCCCTGCTCAAGAAAGCACATATACTTGCCCGTCTGAAGTTTGCCAATGAACATCTGAATGATTCAGAGGACAACTGGGTGAAAGTGTTTTGGTCAGATGAGACCAAAATGGAGCTCTTTGGCATCAACTCAACTCGCCGTGTTTGGAGGAGGAATGCTGCCTATGACCCCAAGAAGACCATCCCCACCGTCAAACATGGAGGTGGAAACATTATGCTTTGGGGGTGTTTTTCTGCTAAGGGGACAGGACAACTTCACCACATCAAAGAGACGATGGACGGGGCCATGTACCATCAAATCTTGGGTGAGAACCTCCTTCCCTCAGCCAGGGCATTGAAAATGGGTCGTGGATGGGTATTCCAGCATGACAATGACCCAAAATGCACGGCAAAGGCAACAACGGAGTGGCTCAAGAAGAAGCACATTAAGGTCCTGGAGTGGCCTAGCCAGTCTCCAGACCTTAACTATAAATCTGTGAAAAAGAGCTTCATAGATCATCAGATTCATTTCGTCTAAATAAAGATGTTTATTCTGATTGGAGACACTGAACACAGTGTACAAGTCCATTATTCCCATTGCCTGGTATACAAGAGGTTGTGGTTTCGATCCTGACCGTGAGGCCTATATATTTGGAGTTTGCATGTTCTCCGCGTGGATTTTTCTCCAGGTACTCCGTTTTTTTCCATACACATTTAGAAACATGCGTTTGTATTATTTGGCTGCTACTATACATTTCCACATGATAAACCACTTTGTTGAGCTATCATATGTGGCCAGGTCACTTCTGAAAAAGAGATAATAACTCAGTGGGTTTTACCTGGTAAATACAATAAAATTGTTTAGTTTTGGAATCGCAATAATCGTAATGTAGTGAACATTTTAATTGATATATTGTAATGTGAAAATATACCATCATAGCTCTAGAACAGGGATGGGGAACGTCCGGCCCACGGGCCGTATAAGGCCCGTGAAATCATTTGGTCTGGCCCTGCCAAGGCAACCGCAGGCGGGACTCGAAATTCAATAAATCTAGGAGCAAACCTGGAAAAGCAGTTGCGAGTAGCAACATCATCTATACCAGCTAACATCACACGCCTCACCAAAGAGAAGCAGTTCCAGCCATCACATTAGGGGTGAGTTAATTAAATGTTTGACCAAATATAACAGGCTAATTTTTAAGTTGATAATTTTGTATGGCCCGCGAATGATGTTATAAATATCCAAATGGCCCTTGGCAGAAAAAAGGTTCCCCACCCCTGCTCTAGAACATACAGTACCCTCCGCTTCTAAGCATCGCTTAATCATGTTTATAGAGGTGCCTGTATACAGAGTGTTTTGCACGGCGTTACCTCCTTGGTAGTGGCCTTCTGATATCCGCTGAGTCTTTGTCCCTTCCAGGGCTGGGACTGTGTGGTTTTGTCTCCTGTGCGTTGGCACCATCTGTATTGGAACCACATTCAGGCAGAGGTCACTTAATCGAATCAGCGTAAAATTAGTCATTAGTAATAATTAACATTTGTAAAAGGGGAGCATTTCAATCATAGATCCCAATACGTGCCGTGTGTGGAAATCAGGAAAAAAGAAACAACCGGCCAGAACTAGGCAGGGGGTAAATGGTAATTTAAAGAGGTGAGTTTTCAAGACAGACTTAAACATCTATAACGACTATGATTGCCTTATTAGCAAAGGCAGAGCTGTACAGTGGCAACAGCCCAATCACTCACCCACGCACTCATCCATCCACTAATTCATCCACTCACCCACTCATCCAAAAAAAATACTTAAATAGCTCTAACTACTTTTTTTATTACCAAAGGCAAAGCGTTACAAAACTTGGGAGCTGCACTGACAACATCCCAATTAATACCTTCCAATACATATATATTACACATTTAATGATATATGAATTTCTAAGAACCTTTTTTGCCAATATACAGAAAGTGCTATGATAGAATTAAACACCTAGACACCTGGTGTAGGCCAACCAGTTCCAAGGACAATGCTACATTCTTATCAAAATATTTTTTTTCCATGTTTTACAAAAAGCATGATGTGTGATTCATGCAGACTCAATGATACCTCGCAAAAGGTGTCTATTTCGTGTTTAAACATCTTAACACATCCTGAATTATTTCCAGGAAAGGGTAAAGCAGCCTTTTATTTTTTCATCACGATATACACATTTACATATATATGTACAGTTAACCACGCACCCTTTAGTTTTCTCTTACAGCCACCTTCCATCTTGAAAAACGAGGCAATGCTGTGGCTCTGAATTCAACCTCTAAAGCCAAGCCTTCAGTGGCCCATACCTGGGCACACTGACTCTATTCTCTGGACCCTCTACTTATTGCCCCCTCAACCTCCCCACAGTCCAATCAGAGAGCGACAACAACTTTCACCAGAGACGCCCACAGATCGGCATAAATAACATGGGCTGGGTACTGTTGGGTGGGTCCATTTAGACAGCTCATTGCAACATGAAGCCGAAATAGAATTGTTCTACAATCTACAGTTGTCATACGCCTGGTATGTTAACTAATCCAAATATAGCTTATGCAATCTTGATTTGAAGCTTTCGTGACTGCAGGAATCCATACTCTTTGTTTCTTTCAGTAAAGTCACGGAAGTATAAAATAAACTAAATCACGACGTTTCGGGCGCAACACAAGCGTCCGTCATCAGGTGGGAAAGCAGGGTCTGCTGCCCAAGGGTCATACCCATTTCAAACCTTTTTAAACAGTCTGCCTCAGCAGCAGACCATGCTTTCCCACCTGATAATGGACGCTTGTGTTGCGCCCGAAACTTTGTGATTTAGTTTATTTTATACCTACGTGACTTTACCGACAGAACCAAAGAGTATAGCTTATACATTCGTCTTCGCTTCAAAGTTTGCCTTTTTTGTGTGAAATTACAAATACTGCTGCCAATGCACGATTTATGATTAAGTGAGCCTCGACCTAACTATTGAATAAGTCCCTGGACATTCGCACAAAGCGAATTCACGTTAAGCAAAGGAGTAATTTTCCTATCAGCAAAACGTTAAAGGGAGGGGTGCCATTCCAGCCATAATGTTTTTTCTTGTTGTTTATATTTTACAGTATACTGTTTTACATATTTCTTTTTTGAAATGTGTTGTGTTTATATATTATTTCCTTTAAGTATAAAGTGAGTGAGAGAGAGAAATGTATGGCAAGTGAGAAAGACAAGGGAGTGAGATGACGCTACGCACACAAAGATGCTGGAACCAAGGTTGAGGCGGAAGAGGAAGGCACGCCGTGTATTACAGCACACATTATTACTAAAGTACCAGTACCACAATACCAGTACCAGCTCCTTGTATCACCGATCAATGCTGCCAACACCCATACCGCTCAGATGGGTAGTCCGTCACGCACTAGACTCGTGTTGTAAGCGAGTAGTCCATCACTCGTGAGAATCGCGTTTTAGTAAATATTCCATCACGCGCTAGACTCACGTTGTAGTGAGTAGTCTGTCATGCACAAGACTCACGTTATAGCGAGTAGACCATCACACACTAAATTCGCGTTTCTAGTGAGTAATCGATCAAGTACTAGACTCGCATTGTAGTGAGTAGTTCATCAGGTACTAAACTCGCATTATAGCGAGTAGTCCGTCATGTGTGGGGGCCGACGTCCGCCCCACTGCCCTCGCCGGGCAGGTGGGGCGCAACATTTGCCCCCTCCACTGCCTCCTCCACTCCCTCCTCCACCGCGTCGCGGGGCCCCTGTCGATGGGGTGATCGTGGCACAAATACATACTACCTGGGGGGAATATCTTGCGAGAAGAGCTTAGCCTAACTCTGCCTACGTACCCAGTCACTCAAACGTTCTACCACGTACCTCGAAGCTGTACTCACGGCGTCGCACAGACACTGTGAGAGTCAGAGGCAGAAGGATGAGAGAGAAAATTACCTATCACTGCCCCGTAGCAGCACTCGCTGGCATCACACGGATGCTGCGAGCGGCTTGAGGAGGCAGGATGGCAGGGAGTGGGTCTTGACGGCCCAGAGGTTGAAGACATAGAGCGCAAAAATCATCCTGGGCCACTCTTTTTGTTCCTTAAACTTCAAAGGCCCAGGGTGACATTGCACCGTGCAGCCAATCATACGCTTACCTGCGCCGTTGTGCCTTTTTCTCCTCTAACGTGGCCTAATCCCCTCATTTCAAAGGGCCGGGATGGCGTTTGGCGTTTGTCCCGCGCGATCAATCATGTGCCTACCAATGGTTACTGCCTCCTTGTTATCGCGTCCTTCCTCGAGTGCCACGTTGGCGGCGCCGGCCACCCATTGTCCCTCGTTGCCCATTTTCTGGAAGGGCGCCTGGTTGGCAAACACAGTGCGGCGATTTTCCTGAGCTTATGCTTTTCTTGCTTAATATTCCAAACCATGGGACTTCCCCTCAAGAGGCCCTTCAGATTAAAACCCGATGTGCCAGGCAATCCACCGCCAGGGCACTACGTGTGTGCGCTGCATGTCGGTGTGTGTTCAGTGCAGGGGCTGGGAGGGAGTCGCGGTGCTTGCGGAGTTGCTCCGCGATCGTGGCACCACATAGCCCCCTGAGGTGCTCGTCCCTGTCCCGGGCTGACTGGAGTACCTCGTCTGGGTCGCTCCAACCAGGTAGCGCCACGGAATCCATGGGACTCGCCCGGCCCTTGTTTCGTGGGCGGTGACTCAGCTGTCCGAGGCTCCTGCGTCGGTCTCCATCTCCATTCCAGAGGCTCCTCCCACCCTCCGGCGTCTGCCACACTACGGTCCAGGGCCCACGCTAATAGGTGGGCAGCTTTCCCACCTGTCCGGCCCCTAAACGTGGGGTGTGCAGCCATACCTTAGAGCCCGCTGAGTAGAATGAGGGCTCCACACGGGGGCGGGCGCCCTGCTCTTGCCGCTGATGGGCGGCCTCCCCCTGTTGGTAAGTCCGGCCACGGGCCTCTCGCAGGGTCCCCATTATGTGCTCCACGGGTTGGCTCCCTTCCTCCGGTTGTGGCGGGGAAAAGCCAAACAACAGATCTGCCGGTAGGCGAGACTCACGACCAAACATCATTAGGAAGGGGGTCTGTCCAGTGGATGTGTGTACCGTGGTGGTGTAGGCGAACAGAGCATAGGGGAGGTGTTTGTCCTAATCCTGTTGATTGGTGGCCGCCATACGTTTGAGCTGGTTCATGCGTTCTACCATACCATTTGCCTGGGGGTAGTATGCGGTGGTTCGGTCCTTCTGGATCCCGAACTCCCAGCACAGTGCCTGAAATAGCTCCGCCTCGAACTCACTACCTTGGTCGGTAATGACTCGCTTGGTGATCCCGTGTTTGAGCACATAATGTTCCACAAATGACTGGACAACCACAAAGGCCGTCTTATCGGGGATGGCCACTGCCACTGGGTAGCACATAAAGTACTCTTCCGCTACAAGGATGTACCGGTTGCCTCGGTAGGACCGCGGGAATGGCCCTTGTAGGTCCACCCTAACCAACTGGTTTGCCCTGCTGACGCGGAACGGCCTCAGGGGCACCTGATACTGTGCCGGGTTCTGCCCACACTGTTGACAAGCGCGGCAGCCCTGTACCCAGGCGGCCACGTCTTGCGTCAGTTTGGGCCAAAGATACTGGTGACACAGGGTCTCCCGAGTACGCCGTTCCCCATCATGCCCCCCGAGCAGGTGGTCATGCACCAACTGTAGCAGCTGGGGTCACACCTGTGCAGGAACACAGATGCACCCTGGCTGCCCGACTTCGGTTAGTTCCTGCACCACCCCATCTTGCACACACAACCAGGGGTACAAACCACTCAGTAGGGACCTCTGTGGCACATACAGCACTCTCTCTCAACGGAGGGGGGTTAGTCTCAGGGCGTTCCAGGGGGGCTGTTGCCTGTCAGCAGCCTCATCCCGTGAAGCACGGACAGGCCTCCTCAGTCCGTGTCTCGGAACACACTGCGGGTCGCCTTGACAATGCGTCTGCGTTTGCGTGCGTCCGTGGGGGTATGGGGGACGTGGTCCTTGAGGGTGGTGAAGGCCGTCTGGCAGTCTTCCGTCCAATGGTAAGGGTTTTTAGGGGAAGTGAGTTGGGTGAGGGGACGTGCAATCTCGCTGAATCCCTTCACAAATCGACGATAATAAGTGGCTAGCCCCAAAAATGACCTGATCTCTGTCAGGTTCCTGGGCCGTGGCCATTCCACTACGGTGCATACCTTTTCCGGGTCGGTGCACACCGCTGCCTCACTGACGCGGTGTCCGAGGTACTCAACCTCACGCTGTGCAATATAACACTTATGCGGCTTGAGCTTGAGATGGGCTGCTCGCAGTCGTTGGAACACCTCCCGTAACCTAGACCAGTGCTGAGACAGGGACCTACTGAACACTATCACATCATCCAGGTAAATTAGGCACTGTTCCCATTGCAAACCCCATATCACCAACTCCATCAACCACTGGAACGTCGCAGGCACGTTAGTGAGTCCGAACGGAAGCACTCAGAACTCGAACAGTCTTTGGCCGATCCTCCTCCGCCATCTCTACCTGCCAGTACCCGGACGCTAGATCGAGGGTGGAAAAATACCGCGCCCCCACGAGGCTATCAAAGGTGCCATCAATGCGGGGGATGGGGAAGGCGTCGCCGAGGGTAACCGCGTTCAGCTTTCGATAATCGACACAAACTCAGGTCAACCCATCATCTTTCAACACCAGTACAACCGGGGCAGACCAGGGGCTCGCTGAGGGCTGGATTATGTTATCGTGGAGCATATCGGTGACCGCCTCTTTTATCGGGGCCCGTTCGGGTGTGCCCACTGGGTATGCGAGTTTAATGGGTCGGGCTGCACCTGTGTCAATTTAGTGGTTAATAAGGTCTGTCCAGCCCATATCTGAATCGTGCTTGCTGAACACTTTGGCGCACTCCCGCAGTAACCCTCGCAGCTGATCGGCCTCCACCTTGGTTAGATCTGTCCAGGGTACATGCAGCGCGTCAAGCAGGGGGACGACCTCTGCTTTGGGGGTCGGACCAACCCTCCACGCCAGGTCCTGGTTGTCCTCGGAGTGGCAGGGGTCCTCAGCCCAGAGGGCAATCACCGAGCTGCTAGAGTGGCATGTGTGCAGGGGGTATATTGTGGCTACCATGGTGCGCCGTCGCAGTGTTGCTGGGGTACTGTGGGGATTAAACACTCGCATAAACAGTCGACCCCCATCAGCGTTTACCAGCGTGGCCGACCCCACAACCCTGTACCATGCCGCTAACTCCGGGTGAGGAATCAACATTACCTCACTCGACGGTCGGTGGGAGGGGTTGGTACAGAGGACGTTGTTACTGGCACCAGCATCTCCGCGAGGGGCCCGATGGTGACGGCCGACACCAGGGTAGCGGCCACGGG